TCCACTTATTTGTGTCTTCTTCGGTTTCTGTCATTAACATCTTGTGGTTTTCAACATACAGGTCTTTCACTTGATTAGATTTATTCTTAGGGATTTTATTATTTTTATTTTATTTTTTTAGGTTTATGTATTTATTTTGAGAGAGACAGAGACAGTGTGAGTTGGGGAGGGGGAGAGAGAGGGGGAGACAGAGAATCCAGAGCAGGCTCCACACTGCCAGCACAGAGCCCGACCCAGGGCTTGAGCTTATGAAACCGTGAGATTGTGACCTGAGCCAAAACCAAGAGTCCAGTGCTCAACTGACTGAGCCCCCAAGGCACCCCAAGATTTTTAAGTAATCTCTACACTGAACATAAGGCTTGAACTCCCTACCCCGAGACCGAGAATCACGTGCTCCGTCGGCTGAGCCAGCCACATGCCCTGATGCTAATATCTTCTTGAGGATTTTTGCTTCTGTGTTCATCAGAGATGCTGGCCTGTAATTTCCTTTTTGGTATGGCGTCCTTGTTTGGTTTTGGTATCAGGGCCGTGCTGGCCTTGTAAAATGTTTTTGTCAGAGTTCTACCGTCTTCTATACTTGGAAAGTGTCTGAGAAGGACTCGTATTAATCCTTTGACTATTTGGTAGAATTCACTGGTGAAGCTGTCCGGTCATGGATTTCTGTTGGTCGGATGTTTTCGATTACTGATTCAGTCTCCTGCCTGTGATCAGCCTGTTCAGATCTTCTGTTTCCTCACTCAGTCTTGGTAGGTCGTACATTTCTAGAAGTTTATCTGTGTTTCCAGGTTGTCCGGTTTGCTGGGGTGTGATCGTTCCGCTGGCCTAGCCTGGTCCTTGTGTTTATGTGGTGCCGTTGTAAGCGTCCCTTTCGTTCCTGGTTGTGAGTTCTGTATTCTTTTTTTTTGGTGAGTCTAACTGCAGGCTTGTCAGTTTTGTTCACCTTCTCGGAGAACCGGCTCTTAGCTTTATTGGTCTTTTCTGTTGTCTTCTTTGGTCCCAATCCCATTTATTTCTGCTTAATCTTTGTTATTTCCTTCCGGTGACTTTGGGCTTCTTTCGTTCTTTTTTTTTTTTTTTTTTTAAATTTTTTTTATTTATTATTTCTAGGAGAGAGAGAGAGAGAGACAGCGTGAGCAGGGGAGGGTCAGAGAGAGGGAGTCACAGACTGAAACAGCCTCCAGGCTCCGAGCTGGCAGTCAGCACAGAGCCCGACGCGGGGCTCGAACCCACGAACCGCGAGATCATGACCCAAGCGAAAGTCGGACGCTTGACCGACTAAGCCACCCAGGCGCCCGGCTTCTTTCGTTCTTAATTAGTTCCTTGAAGTAAATGACAGGTTGTTTGAGACTTAAAAAAAATTTTTTTAATGTTTATTTATTTTGAGAAAGCGTGCACATGCACAAATGGGGGCGGGGCAGAGAGAGAGGAGAGAGAGGTTCCCAAGCAGCCCCCATGCTGTCAGCACAGAGCCCGACGCGGGGCTCAGTCTCAGGACCTGTGAGATCATGACCTCAGCCAGAATCAAGAGCTGGACTCTCAACCAACTGAGCTGCCCAGCCGCCCCTCCGTAGCCTGTTTGAGCTCCACATTTGTGAGTTTTGCAGTTTTCTTCATGTAATTAGTTTCTAGTTCCATATCACTATGGTTGTAAAAGATGCTTGATTTCAGTCCTAAATTTATTAAGACTCGCTTTGTGGCCTGAAATACGTCTTTCTTGAAAAATGTTCATGTGAACTTAAGAACAGTATGTATTCAAGGGGCACCTGGGTGGCTCAGTCGGGTAAGCTCCAGCTCTTGGTTTTGGCTAAGGTCGTGATCTCGTGGTTTGTGGGATCGAGTCCCGCTTTGGGCTTTGTGCTGGCAGTGCAGAGCCTGCTTAGGATTCTGTCTCCCTCTCTCTCTGCCCTTACCCCACTCACTCTGTCTCTGTCTCTCTCCAAATAAATAAATAAACTTAAAAAAAAAAAAAAGAACAATATGTATTCTGTTGCTTTTGGATGAAGTGTTATTTATGTGTATCTGTTAAATCTGTCTGGTCTGACGTGTTTAAGGCCGATGTTGCCCAGTCAGTTTTATCTGGATGATTTATCCACTGATGTAAGTGGAGTATTAAAGTCCCTACTGTGATTAAATTGATGCCTTTTTCCCTTTTTAGGTATGTTAATGATTTGCTTTATATATTTAGGTGTGCCTGTGTTGGGTGCATAAGTATTTACAAATGTCCCCTTGTTGGATTAACCCCATTATCGTTACCTGAAACCCTTCTTTTGTCTCTTACTAACAGCCTTTGTTTTAAAGTCTCCTTTGTCTGATACAGATAGAGGTAAGTGTAGCTTTGTTCTGGTTCCTGTTTGCACGGAGTCTTCTTCTGCCCTTTCATTTTAGTTTGTGCGTCTTTACGTCAAAAGTGTGTCTGTTCTAGACGGCACGTGGGTCAGTCTTGGTCTTGCTTTTTTATTTTAATCCGACCATTCTTTTGATTGAAGAATTTATCAGTCTATTTACATTTCTTTATTAAATGTTTGTGTATGTTTGAGAGAAATCGATCATGAGTGGGGGAGGGGCAGAGAGAGAGGGAGACAGAGAATCCCAAGCAGGCCCGTCCGTACTGTCAGCGCAGAGCCTGACTTGAACGCACAGACAGTGAGATCATGACTGGAGCGGAAATCAAGAGCTGGACACTGAACTGACCGAGCCACCCAGGGGCCCCAGCACATTTACATTTAAAGTGGTTGTTGCTGGGCATCTGCTCTTTGCCACTGATCACTTCCTGGATGTGTTTGCAGTCATGTTCTTCTCTTGCTCTCTCCCTCTGTGCTGTGATGACCATTATCTTTTGTTATTTACTGTGAGGTTTTGCTCTCTGGTTACCATGTGGCTGACATGTAATGACTTGTATCTGTAACAGTCTTCAGCTGACAGCAACTTTAAAGTATGATTTACATTCTAAAACTCAACACCCCCCCCTTATTTTATGTTTTTGATGTTATTATTTTGCATCTTTTGTCTGTTCCTTAACTAATTACTGTAATCATTGTTATTTTTACTACTTTTGGTTTTTGACCTTCATATTAGCTTTATAGGTAACTAATCCACTTACCTTCACTATATATTTACTTTTCCAGAGAAATTCTTTTATGTGTGTTCTTGTTACTAATTAACTCCATTTCTAGGTGATGGTGATGAACTCTGTTAGCTATTGCTTGTCTGGAAAATTCTTTACCTCTCCTTCAATTCTGAATGATAATTTTGCTGGGTAGAGTATTCTTGGTTGGAAGATCAGCATTTCTTGGTGATCATTTTCATGCTGTAAAATAGGGTAGAATTTGAGCTATTGTAGAATTCAACAAGAGTCCTGAATTGAGAAGTAAATTATCTGCAAGTTGACATTTTACGTTTTAAAGAGTATAACTTTTAAAGTATTTTTGTGAGAAAAAAATGTGCCACTGGCAATTTATAGCTAATTAAATAATAGTTCTTAGTTCGGATCCTGAACAAAGATACTTTAAGAAGAGTGACACTGGGAGCGCCTGGGGGCTCAGTTGGTTGAGCGTCCGACTTCGGCTCAGGTCATGATCTCACGGTTCGTGGGTTTGAGCCCCATGTCGGGCTCTGTGCTGACAGCTCAGAGCCTGGAGCCTATTTCAGATTCTGTGTCTCTCTCTCTCTAACCCTCCCCTGCTCATGCTGTCTCTATCTCTCAGAATTAAATAAAACATTTTTAAAAATTAAAAAAAAAAGTGATGCTGTAGGTGACCGCAGTCCATAATCTAGATATTGCTGTCACTCTGGTAAGGGGATCAGCCCTTTCTGCCACAGAGCTCTGTGTTCAGTTTGAGCTTCCTGTGAAATACGGTCTTGGTCACATCATTTGTTACCATAGTTGAAACATAATTTGTCAAACAATTCACTTAACACTGAAAGGCTTTTTCTTGTCTTGTATTTCATAGTAGAACCTTTTGAAGAATCTTATTAGCACCATCAACACATATTTTCACACTGGAAATTAGAACCTTCCTGACCTCTAGATCAGAACAGTTAAAGAGCCGTTTGGATGTGAGTGTGTTTATAAAGGCTTTTATCATTTCATTTCATAAACTCTTCCAGTAGATACACTATAAGATTTTGCCACACAGAACAGTAAAGCTATATTCTTAAAAGAATTGCCATTTCACAACCAAAAGTGATTCATTATAAAACTTTTGATGTAATTTTAAATGGTACCGAGTTTAACATTCAGAAAAACAATTCACTTGACAGTTTCTGCCATCCATTCATTGAACAAAGACGTTTTGAATGTGTGGTAAGTGCTGGGCACTGTGTGAGGTGCCAGAGCTGTGAAATGAACAAGCTGTGAAGTCACTTGTCTGTTTCTGGGGGCTTTCCCTCTGGCTACAACCTGTTAGTAATGGCCAGCTCCCATTGGGGGAGTTGCGCGGCCCCGCGTTCCTGTCCCCTGTCCTTTCCAGAGAGACGCCCCCGTTGGGCCTGTGCTGTCCGGCGTGACAGCCGTGTGCACTTCCAGCGTGGCCAGTCCGAACGAGATGTGCCTGCCTGCCTGCACACCCCATCCCCAGGAGCCTAGCACAGAGTAAGGGCGTAAAATAGCACATTAATATGTTCCTGTTGATGACACGTTCAAATTAAAATACTTCAGATACATTAGAACACACTTAATAAAATTAACTTGCTTTGTTTTACTTTTGTTAATGTGGCTTCTTGAAATTTCAAAATAACACATGTGGCTCCTATTAGCCATTTGCATCGTATTTCTAGCGGGCGGCTTCGCTCCAAGCCTTACGTGCGTTTTCATGAAATGGAAGTCAGAGCTGTTCCTCGCAACGTCCCCACATCTTCTCAGGGAGGACGGACTGTGCGTTGGTCCCCTGAGCGCCAGGCGGAAGTGGCCTGGAAGCACGGAAATCTTTCCAAGCAGCTGATCTCTCTTTTTTTTTTTTCCATGTCTCTCATCTGCACCTTGGTGACGCCTCACAAAACAGCACGGTAAGAAAATCGTTCTACCTTGTTCCAGGCTTTTGCAGACTTTGTGCATTAACAGTTACAGGAGGCAGGTGGCTGTCCCCAGGGTGTCCTGTCCACTCTGGGCGCTCACCCCTGGCTGGGCCGGTGCCCCCGCTGCTGAGCTGATGGTCTGTGGACCAGACGCGTGTTTCGCAGGGAAGTGACAGCCAGAGGCGTGTACTAGGGAAAGGTGCATGTTGACTTTCCAAGGTTAGATCTTGTGGTGAGGAAGGATCGGAAGTGTTTTTACCTTTCATGTTCTTTTTAAGAAGCAGTGTTCATAATCAGATGTGAAGACAGCCCTCGGTTTGCAGTGCTCCCCCAGAATCCGTAATCCTGTCATTTGCGCAGACCCTGCAGGCTACTGGGGGTCCGATCTGTGCTCTTGCTCCTTGGCCCCGGCCGTGAGGGAGGACACCGTAGCCCTGGGTGGGGGGCGGGGAGCCCCTCTTAGTAAACTCTGCAGGCCCTGTTCAGCCCGGAGTCTGTGCAGCAAAGTAGATACGGGGCCACCGCGCAGAGCAGGGCTGTGGAGGGAGGTTAAATAGAAACAGCTAAAAGCAGACCAAGTGGAGAAAGGCCTGGTCAAGACGGGAGGAGAGGAAGACACTGCGGTGATGGCTGGGAAATGAGGGGACTCCCAGGGACAGGACAGCTGGGGGAGGAAGGAAGCCGGCGACGGAAGGCTGGGGACCCTCCCTCACCAGCCGCCTGGAAGGCAGGAGAGAGAAGGGGCAGCGGCCGCCCGTCATCCGGGTACAGGAAGTTCAGGTTCCAGCGGCGTGTGTCTCCCCCACATAACATCCAGTCTAATGACAAGAGGTCTCATTGGCCGCCCCAGAACCTCTGAGGTTGTTCACACGCGCCGTGTCTCATTCGCGGGGTCCTGGCTCAGCGGTAGGCTGTTGGCGTCCCTGCCCTGTAGGAGCCCTGACGCGTCCCCCGTTTCAGGCCACGTCCCTGTACACGTGCGAAGTAAGCACTTCAGAATATACTCTCCTGTCACGCCAGGTGCCCTTCCCCTTATTGCTCTAGGACTTCCCCCCCCCCCCCCCCCCGCTTGTGGGATCTGGGACTCCCACGACTCCTGGTCAGTGGCAGAGGGGACTCAGCGTCCGGATTTATCTCAAATGCTCTGGCCGGCAGCGGTGGATGGGTCGCTGTTTAATATTCTGAAAACTAAGAAGGGTGTTTAGCCAACGATGTGGGGTTTCGTATTTTAAAGTATTGAAACCTGTGCATTAAAACACTTTTTAACTTAATAGAAAAGCCACTTTTATTAAGTCGGGCGCTGCTGCTGTTAAACACGGGTGACTTCATCGTGGTTCTGGGGCAGCTGCGGTCACCGCATGGTGGTTTTGCCGTCAGAAGTCGTTTCCAACCTTAACTTCTCTGTATCGGGGGCTCTGAGTGTGGATTTCCAGGCCCTCTGATCTTAATATCGTTCATACGAGCTGAAAAGCAGGTTCTCCCATTTTAAGTTACTTTCTTCAGGAAAAATGTCCAGTTGAGGTCCTGCGTGGCAAGAGATGATGACAGATATCTTAATGGGGGTTTGACGGGGGTCTCGGTAGACGTAAACATTACGTTGCGGAGGATAGCTGTAACGAGGTTTCAGCTGCCGTAAGAGGGAACTGGGTAAGAAGTTAGTCGGGTTTAAAGTTCTCTCAGTAGGGGGGCGGGGGGACAGTCAGGTTCCCTGGTGGGAGCTGGGAGTCGATGGGGACCAGATGCTCTCTGCCTCCGGGCTCGCCTTTGGAGAGCCGCTCAGTGCTGGGCCCACATTTGAACAGCCAGGTGCCCAGATGGTGAGGGGTAAACCTGCGGGCCGGGCACACGGTGGCGACGACCCGTCCCCCCACAGCTCCGTGGCCACGCCTTACCCCCCCCCTTCTCCTCCCTCCTCTCATTTCTGCAGCACTTCTGGGGCCCCGTAGCCAACTGGGGCCTTCCCATTGCTGCCATCAATGACATGAAGAAGTCTCCGGAGATTATCAGTGGGCGGATGACGTTTGGTAAGGACGCGGCTGTGCATGCCTGGGAGGACTTCGGCGGGCAGAGGGCCGCAGCGGATAGGGCTCCCGCGTGTAGGGACATGTAGGGTGGCACAGCATCGGCGGGGTGCCGCTTGTCCACGGGGAGCAGACAGCAGAGCGGTTTTGAAATGTTATCTAGGAGGCGTTAAGGTCCTGTGTGCCTTTCAGATCGACACACAGCCGGAAAACGTGTCCTCTTAAACTTCTGTTTGGAAGAGGTGCCTTTAAGTGTATTTGGAAGCCGCCTCCTTGGCCATGCAGGTGCTGTTGCGGGATTAGGTAGCAGCCCTTTGAGGCGGTCCTGAGGGGACAGAAGGCAGCTCCTAGCGCGCTCCAGCCAGCAGACATGTCCTTGAAATGTTTAATAAGTAAAATGCTGCACAGTAAAGTGGAGGACGGGCTTCCCATCATGGGAGCACGTAAGCAACGGCTTTTACCGTCTGTCACAAGCTTTAGCAGAAGAGATTCTCGTTCTGATTAAGATCAGGCCGCTGGTCCCTGAGCGGGAACTCATCGCTGCGCTCTGATGTCTCTGGCAGCTCTCTGCTGTTACTCCTTGACGTTCATGAGATTCGCTTACAAGGTGCAGCCTCGAAACTGGCTTCTGTTCGCCTGCCACGCCACGAACGAAGTAGCCCAGCTCATTCAGGGAAGTCGCCTTATCAAACACGAGTAAGCACATTCCGATTCACCTGCGTTTGCTTTGAGGAACTGCAGAGAATTCAACTCAAATCCTGAGGCCCTGGGCGGGAGGGGCGGGAGAGTGTGCGCGGAGACCACGTGTTAGCGGCAGGGAACCTGGGTTCTGGGCAGAGATGTGCTGTTGAGAAAGAGAAAATACGCTGCTGAGTTCAGAACAGTGCTTGCAGTGCGGGTTTGCTTATTAAAACGTGCACGTTAACGTGAAGGAGGACGTTACTGTTTCTATAAAACGTCGAGTTCTAATCAGTGTGAAGATGTCGTCTTCAAGGCATCCAGGTCCTTCAAGGCCGGCAGTGACATGTGTTTCTCACCGAGTTTTTCTGTGTTGATTTCCAGGATGACTAAAAAGCCATCGGCGTAACAAGGGAACATGAGAAACCAGCTGTTGGAAGGGAAGCGTGTGAGCCGCCGCCGCGTCCAGGTCCATCCTCAGAACAGGCTTGCCAGGGAACCAGGCCGAATGCTCTTCTTACTAACCAATTCTTCTAGAAATAGCTGAGAGCCCCAGGCCGGCTCTCTGCCGCCTTACACGCACTGACTGTGTTCCCTCTCTGCAGAGTAGCCCCACAGATGCAGTCTAGTGACTCCCGATGGTGGTTTTATTGCAGGAATGTGTACAGCACCTGTTGGAATTTACTTAATGAAAAACTGAAGAGAACACTTGTAATTATTAGCATCTAAGTACTCGGAATTCTTCGCTGTAATGACCATGGGACCCGACAGCTGGCCACATGCTGAAATCTCATTGCCAACATTTAATGAAGTGCATATTTCCATGCAGTGTGTACTAACTGCTGGATCTTAATGGCAATAAATGATTTAAATTTTTGTCATGAGTGTGATTAAGCATCTTGCTGTGTTAAGAAACCACAGAACTAGAATGTTCCTGGACTTTGTGCATAGAGTTGGACTCCTTGAAAATTAGGGAGGTGGCTAATTAGGGGGGATGGCGAGCTGGAGGCTGGTTTCTGGAAGGCCCGAGCGGTCGCTCGGAATGCGCCCTTTCCTCCGGGCGATGTTAGGAGGTGCACCCAGAGGTGGCACCTGGCGAGGCCCTGCGGTAGCTGATGTCAGAGCCGCGCCATGTCCCTGAGAGCCGCCGGGTGACAGCCCCGCATGGGACAGGCGCGTGTCCCCAGCTCCAGGGAGGCAGCCCGGGAGGCCGCGGCGCTGACCTGTCCGCTACACCGTGCGGTGGACTCCATGGGTGGCGGCGCCGCTTCCTGCTGCCTGTGGCTGGCACGTGTGTCTGAGTCATTTCTCCGCTGTCACTTTCTTTTCTTTAAAGGCGCTAGACCGTTGACAAAGCGTTTTCACCTGAGTTCTCTCTTGAGAGCTGCACACAGGCCGGCGAGGCAGCCAGGCTGCTGCTGCCCTTCCGGAGGTGGGGGTGTGGCCCCACGGGGACGCTGCCTCCGCGGCCCCCTCAGGCCCCTAGCTCTACACCTAACCCGAGGGGGGCGTCAGGCCAGAGAACCCAGCGACCAGAGCCCAGACTGGCTTAGTGACATTATGACAACACGTTACAGTCCGGTTGTGCGAGTGGAGCTGCTTGTGAGGACCCCACGCCGTGCGGGGTGTGAGGGAGCCGCTGCAACCCGCCTGCGCCCCGCTCCGTGCCGGCCGCCGCTGCCGTCCTGGTCTGCGGTCTTCCTCTTTAAAAGAAAAAATTTTTTAAGTTTATTTCCTTAGAGAAGTGCACGAGCGGGGGAAGGGCACAGAGAAGGAGAGACAGGACCCCAAGCAGGCTTTGCGACATCAATGCAGAGCCCGGCGTGGGGCCCAGACCCACAAACTGAGACCGTGGCCCAAGCCGAAACCAAGAGTCGGACGCCTAACCCACTGTGCTGCCCCGGCGCCCCGGGAGCTTCCCCTTTGTCCCTTGGGAGAATTCTCGTCTGCCCGTCGTTCGTGCTGGAGGGGAGCGCGGGGCTCTCCCCCCTGAAGGGACAGCTGTAGGCGGGGGCCCCGGCGCAGACCCCGCAGACGTTCGAGCAGGAGGGGCCTGATGGCGCGTCTGCAGGCGCCTCCGTGGGCCCCCCGCACCTCGACGGTCTGGAGGGCCCAGCAAGGCCCCGCTCCGGCGGCTGTTCCTGAGTGACCCAGGAGCCTGCGGGGGCCCCTGGGCGACCGACTCCTGATCTCGGCTCAGGCTGTCCTCTCATGGTTCGTGGGTTCGAGCCCCATGTCGAGCTCTGCGCTGACAGCCAAGAGCTTGCTTGGGACCCTCTCTCTCAAAAATAAATAGATGAACACAAAAAGGAAACCTGTGGAGGGACCCCGAGGAACGCTCGGGATGAAAGTCCGTGCAGATGACGCAGAAGTTGCAGGAGGAAGGGGTGCCGGGAGACTCACCACCCTGGGGAAAGGAGCCTGGCCCTGGCTCCCTCAGGGCCCAGCGCTCCCGGCCGGCTGCCTTCTCGGCAGAGCCGGGTGCTTGCGGGCATGGAGGGGGTGTCCGGGCCGGGTGAGAAGGTGTGAAACACTCCACCGCGGGGACCTGGGTCCTCGTGTCACCCAGATCAGCACCGATGTGAGAAAGTCTGTTCCGGCGCAGAATGCCATGCAGGTGTTTTTGTTGTAAAGGTTTTTGGTTGCTTTAAAATGACCAACGCCTATCAGCAGCACAAAGGACACTTCCTCCAGATGGGCTTCCAGTTGGTAAGTGATCCTTGTCGAGAGAAGACCAACCGGTTAGCCGGCCCTCAGTGCCCTTCCTGGCAGCAAGGGCTCCGGGGCCTGGGCCAGCCCAGCCCTCCCTGCTTCCCTCCTGCAGGCTGGCAAGGTTTGCAGGAGATTCTCACACAAGCTGGTGTTTGGTCCGTGCTCAGGGCCATGTGCACCCTCATGTTCGGGGCTGTGTGCACCCTAGTGTTCAGGCCTGTGTGCATGCACCCTAGTGTTCGGGGCCGTGTGCACCCTAGTGTTTGGGGCCGTGTGCACCCTAGTGTTTGGGGCTGTGTGCACCCTCGTGTTCGGGGCCGTGTGCGCCCTAGTGTTCAGGCCTGTGTGCATGCACCCTAGTGTTCGGGGCCGTGTGCACCCTAGTGTTCGGGGCCGTGTGCACCCTAGTGTTTGGGGCTGTGTGCACCCTAGTGTTCGGGGCCGTGTGCGCCCCAGTGTTCGGGGCCGTGTGCGCCCTAGTGTTCAGGCCTGTGTGCATGCATCCTGTGTTCGGGGCCGTGTGCACCCTAGTGTTCAGATCTGGCCCCTCCCAGGTGCTCAGCGCCATGTGCAGTGAGGACACCACTGGTGAATTACGAACGGTCCCCACAAAAGAGTCAGCCGTTAGTGCCAATGGCTCCACAACGAAAATGAAGACAGGATGGGGTGGAAGGCAGACTCAGTTACCCTAAAAAGCCCAGAAATAAATCCTCAGAATGTTCAATCCCTGCATATGATGATCTCTAAAAATAACACAAGGTCTCCGAGGGGTTTTCATTTCCCAGGAATAAACTACAGGGACGCAGGTGCGCTGTGACCAACCTCCACGGAGAGCCCGGCACCCGCTGCCGATGCTCACGGGCTGTGGTGGCTTCGGTCGCCCCGGCGTCTCCCTTCTTGTGATGCCCCTGTGGGGCAGGGGTGACTATTGCGGGCGCTTCCTGACGTCCAGCGCAGTCAGCGGGGTCCCGGCGCGGCTGACCCTGGCGAGGACTGCCGGCCAGAGGAAGCAGGACCATCAGTGGCCTTTTGTTTCCCAATCGTCCCTCAGCCTGGTGGCTCGGCACCGCGCCCTCTAACACGTGCCCGCCCCTGCGGGGCCCAGGCCGGGCTCTTCACCGTCCTCCCCTGCTTTGACCTTGGCTTGCCAGGTGTTGTCCTGGCTCCATCTGCACGGCGCGTTTACACTAGTGAGAAGGTAAGCGCGGGTCCTGGGATGTCAACCCTGCGTCACCCAGAAGGCATCTGATGACCTTGGAGATAATGGCCACATCATCTAGAGCCGAGCCCGAGCTCCATCAGCACGGAGCCCGTGGGGGCAAGCAGGCGGCGGGGGTCTGTGCAGGAAGGTGCCACCCGGGCAGGACAATCTACAGAGAAGCCCCCACCTCACTGTCAGCCCCCAGGCAGCTGCTGAGAGCTGACGGGGACCGGGTGGGCCCACGGGACTCCAGGGTTTCGCTGGGTTCGGTGGAGGTAACCGGAGCCGCCGGACGATGGCACGGGGAGGATGGGCCGCTGACGGCGCGATTACGAAAGGTCACACACCTGCTTTACCTGCGGGCACGGTAAGTGACATTCGTCAGCCAACAGGCCCAGATGAACCCTGGCCGTGGCTGCTCCCAGCGGCTCTGTGAGGTCCGTGCGCGGCAGATGTGACCACATCACAGCCCCGACTGGCCATCCCCCCGGAACGAACAGGCGCGTGGCGGTGGTGAAATGGTGGCTTTCTAGTTATCGGCAGGACGCTCACTTACAAACAGCCCTACTGAGAAGGCAGGATATGTGCTCAGTCCTTTCCTTTTTTACTCGATTTTATTTATTTTATTTTTCTAATGTTTTTTAAAATGTTTATTTTTGAGAGAGAGAGAGTGCACAGGAGAGAGTGAGCATGAGTGGGGGAGGGGCAGAGAGACAGACAGACAGAAAGACAGACAGAATCCAAAGCAGCTCCAGGCTCCGAGCTGTCTGCACAGAGCCCGACGCGGGCCTGGAACCCATGAACTGTGAGATCGTGACCTGAGCCGAAGTCGGACGCTTTACTGACTGAGCCTCCCAGGTGCCCTTATTTTATTTTTTTTATTTTAAGTTTTTGTTTAAATTCTAGTTTAACATATATGGTAAAATTGGTTTCAGGAGTGGAATCCAGTGATTCATCACTAACATATAACACCCAGTGCTCATCCCAACAAGTGCCTCCTTAATGCCCGTCCCCCACCCAGCCCATTCCCCACCCACCTCCCTCCAGCCACCCTCAGTTCTCTATTTAAGGGTCTCTTCTGATTTGCCTTCATTTTTATATTATTGCTTCACTTCCCCTATGTTTATCTGTTGTGTCTCTTAAACTCCACATGAGTGAAATCATATGGTTTTTGTCTTTCTCTGACTTATTTCACTTAGCATAATACACTCTAGCTCCATCCATGTCATTGCAAATGGCAAGATTTTGTTCTTTATTATGGCTGAGTAGTATTCCATTGTATATTTGAGCTCTGTCTCTCAAAAATAAACATTAAAAAAATTAAAAAGAAATAAAGGGATTCCTTCAATAGTTGTTTCACTTGTGATTAATAACTGATTTTTTCACTGGCTTTTTCTCTTTTGGGCATAAATATAGATTCATGAATTTTCATAGATTTAATATGTTTTTATCCTCTTTGGTTATCAGTTTTCTTTTTTGTGTTTTTGTGTTTATATTTTTATTCTTTTTTTTTTTTTGTTTTTTTTTAGTTTACATCCAAGTTAGCATGTAGTGCAATAAAGATTTCAGGAGGTTTTTGTTTTATTTTTTATAGCTCCTCACTCTCCTCTCCTCCCATCCCTCTCTAGAAAAAAAGTTGTTTTTAATTAATTTTATTTTTTTTTCATATTTTTAAACAGCTTTATCCCAACATGGGGCTTAAATTCACAGCCCTGGGGTGCCTGGGTGGCTCAGTCGGTTAAGCGTCTGACTTTGGCTCAGGTCATGATCTCCGTGTCCTTGAGTTTGAACCCATGTCAGGTTTGCATCAGGCTCTGTGCTGACAGCTCAGAGCCTGGAGCCTGTTTCGGATTCTGTGTCTCCCTCTCTCTCTGCCCCTCCCCTGCTTGTGCTCTGTCTCTATCTCTCAAAAATGAACATTAAAATAAAATAAACTTACAACCCTGAGATCATGTTCTACCAAATGAG